CTAAATTATAAATTAATTAATTAATTGTAAAAAAAAAAATTATCTTTATTCACATCTAAATCTACATTAACTCATTAACTACACTACATTTACATTACTTAATTTTTTATTATTAATCCTCCTCTAGTCTAGACTTTATCAGGCGTACACGTCAACGTCAGTAATCATTTACTGACCAAGTCTTACGTCCCGTTCGTAGATACACTTTCCGACTTTTCGAATCGATCATCATCCGCCTACTCATTTTTTTAATCAGTCTTTTAATGCCTAAAACTAAAGCCTCGCTATGATAGCATTCATGAGAAAATAATATTTTTTCCAATTTAAGAGATACTATAAATTAAATGGTCGCTGAATAAACAATTGAGAATAATCTATGCATATCGAAATTAAAATAGGACCCAATCACGAAATAAAAGTTACATGAATGCATACCATTTAGGTTAGAAAAAGCAGAAGATAGGTAAAATGCCTCGGCCTCGACTGCTTGTTTTGATGTTATAAATCCAAGATGGCCGATGTAAATGGGGAATCCTCGAACAGTCTATTTTTAGAGCGGCTTCTTTGCCAGTTTACTGCTAGGATCTCATCTGCACACCAAATGAAACCAAAAGTATTAAATTTTGTCACAAATTTTGAATTATTAATACTCATGATAAATGGAGTTTTCTCTTATCAAATACGAAATAAAAGTTGTAATATTACGCGTTAAAAGGCTATTAATATATTTATAATTTACACATATCCTAAATATTATTCTGCATTTGATTAAAAGAACTGTTTTACGTTTTTAAAATGTGACTGATCTTAAAATAACAAATCCATATTTTTTACTTTTCTTTCCTTTCATTGTTAAAGTTGAAACCGGTTAAATTTTGAGTAAATTCAGGACAGTCGGCAGCATTTTCTTGCAATAATTTGTTATAATAAGAAAAATGCTTCCTTAAAACGCATATCAAGTTTATATTATTTATATGATATGGTCATATGGTGGTAGTAATAATATTAATTATTAGGGTACGTAGTCGAACGAAGGCATATTAATATTGTCATTGTTAATTTTAAACAAATGTCGGACGGCAGAGCCATCGTCATTTAGTTCATTGACGACGACGACCACCAACACGGTTGTCAGTGTTGTTACACTGTTGTTACAGTTACTCGAGAGTTATTAAAAAAAATATTGTTTGAGTGTCAAGTTTGTATCCTGTCACAGTATGAATGAGTATAGTATAGTCTATGTGTTTTTTTTAAAGTTTATTATTATTTTTAATCAATGAAAATGAAATCCACTGACGTTAACATTAACATTTTTTTATTTTGCATTGTTATTTATGTTATAGATTGAGGACCTATTTTAATTTAAGTAATTATATAAATTACTTTTTTACTAACCAAGTCTGCAATTATTTGAAAAAAAATATGTTAAACTAAATATATTAAACTTAAACTACAGTTGTTTACACGTTACTTTCAGTGTTATGGACTACAAAAGAACGCTGAGTTCAAAAGATCTTGTAAGTTATAATCAAATCAATCATATTCAGCAAAACTAAATGTATGATTAATTGGTAAATTCAGAGAAAGTGGCCCGCGTTTATTTCCATGCGCGCACTTTTACGTCTTAATCGATCCCTATGCCTAATCTGAACCCTAAATCGATCCCTATGCCTAACCCGAACCATAAATCTATTCTATCCCTATGCCTAACCCAAACCCTAAATCAAAATCTATCCCTAACCCGAACCCTAAATCGATCACTATGCCTAACCTTAACAAAGTCAATGTGGGCCGCTAAATCTGAAACAGCCGATTAATTTATTACTGTCGTATGCTGATGAATAAAATTAGCAGTAGTGTTGTTTCTCTATTTTTTAAAAAAATGTAATCTTTTAATAAAAACTTTTCTTCAGAAATCTATTAATCAGTTATTGATGCAAATAAAATCCAACTTTCAAGAACTAAGCAAGGAATGGATGTCACTTCAATCACTTGCAGCTTATTCGGTCTCACCTAAGGTAGAAATTTTAAGCTATTTGTTTTTAGAAGTTGATGATGTAGGCTTAAAATATTTAGTCTTAGTTATTTTTGCTGTCTACGACCGTTTATAAAAAAAAAATATTCTCTTTGCAGTCAAGTTAAACAGTTTCAATATCCTGACTGCCTACCTTTCTTTTGATAGTAATCATTGTCAAAAAGAAATCCTAATTTTTAATTTTTTTTTCTAAAAGTAAAAAAATTATTCTGGCTCTCATGAAATTAACTAATGCAATTATTTCCTTTAAACTTAGTATTAGTATTTAATTACTTCTATCAATAAAGTTTAAAAAATTAAAATAATCTCTGACATACTTACATAGTGCCAAGATGTTATAGACACAAAAAAACTCCTTTAAATAGTTGTTAAATAAGAATGCAGCAACCGCTAAGTATTTGGAATTCATCCTGCAAATACATAGTGCTTTAGTTTTTACAATTTACTTAAGAAAATTAAACTGGTAATTATTTTTTTATTACTTAGAACTCCTCTTTATTTAATCAGGATATTTTCATGGGCAACTCTGGGCTTTAACAACAGTCATTAAATTTTAACACATTCAAAGATAAAGACTACTTGACACTAAATTTTGTTAATGCATAACTTAAAATAACCCAAAAATATCTAATTATTAAATTGCACTGTCCATGAAATAAAAGTTTACTGCATTAAGTGATTCGTAATTAATCTGCAAGGTTTTCCCCCAAAATGCTGTAATTGTAAAAAAATCAGCCCTTCAAAAAATCCAAGCTGATGCAGAAAAACTGAAAGTACTTGCAGTGACTGTTGTCAATCAAAGTGAGGAACTGTCAGCACTCAAAATTAGGTCACTAGAAACAGGTAATTTGTTTCATAACAAAAGCGCTTCATTACTAACAATTTATATAAATTTCATATTTACATCCCTATGATGAGTTCTAATAATATAAATAAATCTGCTACCACATAATATTTATCAATGATTTGCCACAAGATTTTTACACAAAGAAATACTGATTTTTTTTATTTAAAAAAAAAATTTTTTTGGTAGTGTGGAAGAGGGAGTTTGTGTGCAATTTTAAAATATACAAAGTAAGGATTAATTAGAGTGATATTTCATCTACTAGTACTACAAATATAATATCATCAATCTAATCTTGCATTATAAGTATAATACTCTGCTTGGACACAGCTACTACTTCTACTTGAGACATGGAAATATTTTTTCGTATTACTTAAACGCTGTAATAAATTATTTTTAGTAACCGGGTTTATCGCTTCATAAAATAACAAATTTAAAACTGCTGGTGGTGTTCTTAACGTGCAGATGTTTTATATTCTTAAATTTAACTTCATACATTAGTAACTCCTTAAATTATTTATATTCAAATTTTATTAATTTATCATAGCAAAATTTTAAACTTCTGTGAAATCTTAAGTCTTTAATACCCAACGAAAGAAATCATTTTTTAAATAATTGAGCTGAAAATATTATTTGGCAAACATGTAAGTTTACCTGAGAATTTCCCATAAATTCTATGCAGAATTGGAGCAAATAAGAACTGAAAGAAATCAATTGCTAGTTGAAGTACAACACTGGAAGTCTCAGTTGGACACATCCATCTCAGAGACACAAAAAGAAAAACAGGTAGTCTTTAGATTTCCTTTTAACGGACTAATTATGATATTGATATTTTAGATTAAAAACTGTTACATTTTCATTGTCATGTTAAATATTATCCCGCAGAATGAAGAAAAAATTGAGAATTAGTTAACCTTTTTTAAAACTGGTTCCTTTGATCCAAGAAATATAGTTCTAGGCATTAAGTTTCTTCCCTATTAGGCACAGCTAAATCTCAGAGCTGACATCAAGGTTCTAACAGATCAACTCTCCCAACAGTCAGAATTTTGCTCATCTCTCGGAGCAGCCAGTTGTACTCTACTGTGGAGAGTATCAAAGCATGAGAGCAATATCCAGACTATGGTATCCGGGGTCAGTGTTTTATTTTCCTATTTAATCTTTTTAACTTATTCTCTTTGTCAACATTTTAAAGATTCATTATTTTAGCTTAAGGGAAGACATTTTATGATTATAAAAAGCTAATGTTAACTACTTCAGAGCAGAAGTCCAGAATTCCTTGAGCTCATAGCCAACTCTATTCAAAACTACTTAGCGGCATACAAGGAAGATGAATGGCCAAATCAAAATACAGATGAGGCTGTCTTTATTTTAGCTTTATGTGGAACTATTACAAGTAAGTAGCTGGGTGGCCGAGCGGTCTAAACTGTCTCAAACGCAATAGCTGGTGGTCTGGAGTTCAATCCCCATCAAAGCCATCCCAAGCAACCCGGGTGGATGGGACTCGTTAGCCTTGGACGGCAACCCATCTAAGAGAAGGCAAACTCTGAATTTAAAACCAGGAGCCAGAATGATCAACAAATTGATCGTGGGCACCTCAAATATAAGAAGAAGAGAGTAGGTACTTAGGAATCCTAGCTATACCAGCAACAAGTAATGATGCTGTATTAATCATCACTGGTATTAATAATGAACATTTCTTAAATCTCCCAGCAATCATTTTACTATGTTGTTGTGCAGTTGCCTCCTTATTTTACAGTAGCTCTAAATCACACAAATAAGCATTTAAGTCATTTCTGATACTTGATTGTAAGCATAAGTTTACTAATAGTCAGCCCGTTTTATAACAAAGGGAAATTGATTAAATATTTTTTTTTTAAATCTGAAAATCTGACAATGCCCTTGATGTTTAACAAATGAAACCAGTTCCTATTCTTGGAAATTCAAATCATCTTGAATGAAAATGAGATTTTTAGTCACTGAGTAAGTGCTACATTCTCAGAGTCAGTTATCAGAATGAATACTTTGTTTGGACCATTCAACACTTTTTCTTTAGATAAATAATAGGGAAAAAATACTATTGAATATTTTTCTTGCGATGTTACATCAGATATTGCCGCATCAGCATTGGGGAGAGAACAGCTGGCTTCCTGCCCTCAGGGCTGTAAAGTTATGGACGCATTCATCAACTTTATAAGTGAAGCTCCTCTCGGAAAAAGTGCTAACATGAAAAGGTAGAATGACAAAGATTTACATTTGAGAATTATTTAAGGGAACCCTGATAAATAACAAGGTAGGGTGTAATTAAAGAAGGTCTTTAGAAAACGATGAACAGTTTAGAAGATAAACCTTTTAAAGAGTACTTATGTTTGTAAAAGCCATTTTTACTTTTTATCAGGCAATTAGTAATGAAGGTAGGAATAACTTAAAAAGTTAATTCTGATAAAATAACACATTCTTAGCTCCTCTTGAGTTCAATTGTTTTAAGACAGAGTTAAAAAGAAATCAGCTCTTGTATTATCCATTCTTAGTAATTTAATTTTTTTTAATATTATTTTTTTTTAAAGTTGTCTAAATTTTTTATATAAATACCAGAATGATAAAAGAGATCCAAACTTTACTTTTTACTCCGTTGTACAACTCTGTTTTCCCCACATCTTTAAATTTTTGTGTTCCCAGCCTTATGTTAATGAGCCTTTACAATATCAGCATCAATTCCAAAGGAATCAAATATCTCAGTACTAAACCTCACTTTATGAGTATGCTTGCCTGGCATCTCAAAGGTAAGATCATTAGTAATTATATTTTTTAGAATAAATCGGTTTTAAATATGTTTTTTACATAGGTCTTACAATTTACAATACAATTATTATATATATACAGTAGAACCCGGTTATGTCGATGGCCTCAGAATTTGCCAAAAAGCATTGAGATAACCGATAATCGAGATGAACGAAAACCAATATGGCGGCAATATATTAACATGTGCTTGAATACTCTTTTTGTACACAATGTGCGTTTATAAATGAGATGTACATCCACATGTTTTTGGAGGTTTTTTTTACACAACAGCATTACCTCGATTTGTTTGATGAAGCGATCGGCACGCTTTAAAAATGTACATACATGTTTGCTAACGACACAAGGCATATGTAGGGTGCCACTTTTCCAGATTATCCCAGAATTCCAGATTCGTGAGGCTAAATATTTCTCAGCTCCAGATTCGAGAGTTTTTATTTTCTCTCGATCCGGGTTTGTCAGTTCAGTTTATTCAAATACAGATTCTAGCATTTAAAAATAAAAATCAACCTGTAAAAACGCATGAACCCTCTCTTTTTGCAAGCTCCTCGCTTCTTGCTGTGTCAAGTTAATTGCGTTTAAATTACTACAGTTTGAAGGAGGCACGTTTCTGTTGTATATAATTTTCAAAAGCCTACTATTGATCATGGGGATCGAGATAACCGAGGTTAAGTGATAAATTTGGCCGCCTTTTGTGCTCGAGGTATCAAGGTTCAGGGACGTAAAAGAATTGACATAACCAAGGAGATAATGCTAAGACAAAGAGAGATTTTGGCGGTTCCAAAACGTCAACATTACAGGGCTGGCGAGTTAACCAAGGTTGAACTAAACAGGTAATAACAGACCTGTTTACTCTTACAATGTACGATTTTGAGGTGTATACATTATATATACTGTATGTTTATTTTTTTTACTATTAAGATAACATATTGAATGATTTTGTGGTGATATTGTACGATTTTAAGGGTTTGAGGGTAAACAGGGCTGTAATATAATTCCTGAGTGGATGTTGTCCACCCATATTGTGCAACGTGATACGCTCTGACAACCCCCCCCCCCTTCCCCACATCACCCTTCCTGCAAAAGAACATGAATAGAGTCAATACAACTAAGCATTGGTGAATATATGGAGCCCCTCCTAGAAGGTAAACAGGGCTGTAATATAATTCCTGAGTGGATGTTGTCCACCCATATTGTGCAACGTGATACGCTCTGACAACCCCCCCCCTCTTCCCCACATCACCCTTCCTGCAAAAGAACATGAATAGAGTCAATACAACTAAGCATTGGTGAATATATGGAGCCCCTCCTAGAATGATTAAAAATATAGATCTTGCATCTATTCTTGTATTTCACACACACAATGTAGTTACTTTGCCCCAGCTAGTATAGTTAAGTTTTCCATAAAATAGATTTAAACATCTTCCTAAACTTATATAGATCTATTCCTATTTTTTAAAATGTCATTTAAATTAAAGTTATTGTCCGCTTTGAGATTGTTTATAAGATAAATGATGCATTAAGTGATTGGTTATAAAATTAATTGCAGAAGAAAAGGAAACAGAAAACATTCTGAACTCTCTTAGATTAATCCAGTCTTTGATATCAGATGAAGTCACAGCTCCTATATGTATACATCAGCTTCTTGAATCTGTGAGTTTGATTAATGTTAAGTCTTGACGAGAAATGTTCACAGTCCTATGAGCTGTACACTATATTTTGAATTCGTAAAAATCTGAATTCCTGCATTAATTAAAATCATATTCCTGTAACTTTTGAACAGTAAAAAAAATATCAAAGTTAAAATTCATTTTTGCTAGCTTATTGTGCAGTGCTGAACTGATGATTACTGATGAATGAGAAACAGTGCACACAACAAAAAATACTTTATTTATTTGAGGTAACATCAAAAGCAGCTTGTTAACATATAAATATCTGTCAAACAAAATTATATGACATAAAAAAATTTATGATCAGGGTAAGATGGGTCTCAAATAATAAATATGTAGGCCTAATAATAAATTGTGACTTTTGTCATTAAATGGTTTATTATTTAAATAATTATATGGCTTTCCAGTTAATGCTTTCAAATATTGAGGTAACTCCTGGAGAAGTTTTGTAATGAGGGGCCTCTAAACTTATATCCCCAAGAGTCTCATCACATCAAATAATAAAAAAAGTTTTAAAAACTGTTATCACCGATTTTTAAATGACCACTTCTTGTCTTTGAAACAGTCAAATATCTGCTCATTCACAAAATGATTTAATTGTTAGGCCATTTTATGGTTTCTCTGGTTATGTTAAAGTAACTCAAATTAAAGCTGAGAATAAACTTAGTTTAAGGTTAGCAATTATATATTAAAAGCTATGCATCTTGAGGGAAATGATGTACTTCTTCTCTATTCCCCATTTTAGTTCTTTGAAAAGAAGAATCTATTCTGTTGATCTAATAAAATAATTCTTAACTTAAAATAAAATATGGAATTTATGCAATCATGTTGCACATGAAACTGCGCACATCTTTTTCCACCAGATTGTATTAGCAGGAAATTATTGGACAGTGGGCATTTTTTATAATACCCGGTAGCTCATGTTTTTGCTATATATATTTAAAGTTAATCAGATCTAAACATGGTTACAAATTCATTTCTGGCTTGTCTCCCTTTGGGGAGTGAACTACATACTATTCAATCAGGCATTCTAAATACATAATTGTCAAAGAAATATTTCCAAAATCATTTATCTTTACTATGAAAAATATTAGACCAAAATCGTATGACCCATGATTTTTATCGTTGCACACATTTGATAATAAAGAAGTGAAATTTACATTTTCGCAGGTGCCTGTAGGTTTTTTACAACACCTCACCTCAAGCTGTAATAAAGACATACAAGTTCTTGCCCAAGACATATTAACTGACATGAGAGCTTTTAAGATAGAAGATTAATTTCTAACGAAAGAAATCTGCTGCTGTTTAATCTGATGATGATTTGCTTCATTTGTAAGCCTGCGTTCATCAGAATGTTATGAGCATTATTGGAGATTTTACAATCAATGTATTGAAATATAGAATATCCTGAATAAGAAGTGAGCACCTTTTTAAAAAACTGTAATTGAATTTTGTATTTAATAATTGGTTTGCATTGTATAAGTTTATGTTACATTGTTATATTTGTTATAAACAGTTGATTTAGGCAAAACTAATCTGAATCTCTGAGTCATGTTTTCAATTTTTTAATATTTTGATTGCTGCACTCTACAGCCTGTATAGGTTCATGTAAAACAGGGGTCTCCAAACTAAGACCCGCCGGCCGCATGCGGCCCACGAGGCTCTCTCATGCGGCCCGCGGAGACCTTTTTGTCTATGGAAAAAAATACAGAAATTTACGTGTATCCTGCCAAGATCAGACTCCACTTATGTGGACAATATGCTTTTACCGAATTAAAATAGAGGCACACAGTAGTGCATTATGTTTTCTAACAGCTCATTACTTGGCAAAACCGTATTGGCTGCTTAGTTTTTCTACTTCCATTCATAGTCAATGAGATGATATAACGCCTGCTGTGTTGCAGACATCTGTGAAACCATTGTGACTCAAATAGCGAAAAATGCAAGCAAGTTTCGCCAATTTTTAATTGCAATGGATAAATCGCTGGAAATCTGTTCCACCACCTCTCAACTGCTTGTACTCGTTAGAGGTGTGGATGAAGACATAAACATAACACAAGAGCTGGCTTCCAAATATAGCATGTAGAACACTGTTACCGAAGAGGACATATTCAATGAGCTGTAAATAACATTAAATTAGTAAAAGTAGCTTCTGGACAAAGTTTCTGCAGTAACATTATCTTTAATATGTTTTATGTCCCAATAAAACTCTTGAAAAATCTTGTTTTGGGATTGTGATCAGTCAAAACAACCCCTAAAAACAAAGAAAAATACAAAATCCTTTTTGCTCTTATGCATTTTTTAATTATTTTCTTTTAGATAATTTATTTTAATTTCAGATCCGCTTTGACACCGCAGATTCATTACACCAGTTATTTCAGAAAAACAAAAGAAAATATTCCGCACCAAAAGCATTTTTGGTATATTTTGTTAAAAGTGTCTCATTTAGCGCAGCTATCTGGAATTTTTTAAATCCTTGATATTCATATTAAGTTTGCTTTTGTTCGTGGCTGGCTGGCAAAATCTTCGGACGGCTAATTGACCCACTTCCCGTCAACCTATAGAGCTGAAACATGGCACATAGACTCGCTGCCAAAGCAATTTTTTTCAAATTTTCAGCCCAGCCAAAAAATCTGTTTTTTTAAAGAGAAGTGAAGGAAATAGGATGACAATTATTTCAAGAAATACAATTTAAATGAGATTTTTTTATTTTTTTTATTTTTTAATCTCCTTGAAAAACATATGCACTAATGTCAACGTCACTGGCATCTACAGCTAATTCAAACTGTTTTATAAAAACTTGTGCAATGAAAACAAGAGCATTGGCTAAACAATTTGTATGCTTTTGATAGCTTCTTAAAGAGCATCTGACCAATGAAACTTTTGAACTAGTAATAGTGGAAACAATAACTTAGAAATGTTTGCAAAAGTGTCTGCCAAAAAAATCTCATGAGTTGTTTCCTAATGGTGGGTGGGGGAAGTCATGTGATAACATTTATCATTGCGTGAACAGGATTCATATGACTTTGACCCACTATGTGACCTAAATATTCCTCAGCTGCGCGACAGAATTCACACTAGCTTAATTAAGGCTACAGTAACATTTTGGCTGCAAAATTTTCTTTAAAAAAAAATCTTTATTGGGTTGCATGGCTTCAAATTCTTGGCGGTAAATAATCACATCATGAATGAAGGAACTACAGTTTTTCTGGTAAGCCATAATGCTATAAACTGGCGTGTAGATGGGTTGTTTTTTTTTTTTAAATTCTGAATCACATTACCTTACATTGGTATAAACCAGTGGTCGGCAAATCGCGAGCCATATGCGGCTCTTTAGAGACTGGAGTGCAGCTCGGCCACAAATCGGTTTTGACTTTGAAAAAAATGTTCGTGATAGTTTCTTGAAAAGAAATTAGGCTCTATAACTTTTTTAAATCGTACTGCTGATGATTTTTGGCTCTTTTGACTAAATGAGTTTGCGACAACTGGTATAAACCATATGGAGTACAGAAAGCAGTTATTTCTTTCGCTCTGTCTGTAACCTGCCAATAACCAGGTAAAAGGTAAATTTTGGTTACATATTAATATTTGGCATCTCCTTCTCTATCAATGAGATCGCCTATCCTTAATAATTGGAAAGGAATCTGACTTTGTCACAAAATTCACTTTCCTGGAATCAGGGGACTTTTTGTAACTTTTGCCAGGCTTTTGGACCTAAAAATTGGAGAACTCCATTTACTAGAGCTTGGTTCATTGATGTCATTCAAGCACGTACTTAACATCAGTTATAAAAAAAAATGTTCAGCTTCCCGCAGTTATCAATATATATTTTGTGTGGTCCCCCCAAGGATGCGCTTAAAAAGGTTGAGACGCGCCTCCTTATGATATGCTATTGGTCACAGTTAAGAGTTGTTTGTTTTTGTTGAGACCATCATTTTGAGTGGGGCGTTATGGCAGAAATCGAGAGTGGTTCAAAGAGGGATTATATCCCCTGACAGTAGATATAATTTTTTTTTATAAATTCCAAATCAAAGGGGAGTAATTCAGTATTTCTTTCAGAAAAATTGATCCAGGGAGTGTTTTGTTGAGGATGGGTGGGGGTTGCGCACCAGTGAGGCACTAAATTATGCCAATTATAGCACTAAAAAATGTAATCTCAATACAAAAAAGATGGCAAGTATAGTAATTACATTTCCCAAATATTTTAGACTAACCCTTACCAAATGCAAAAAAGAGAAAAACTACGTGTGTTTATAGAAAATTTCTACATTCAATTTTTATAAAATATATGTGAATGCCAAAAAATTATCCAAATAACTTTTTTTTTAAAAATAGCATGATGACATACTGTTAAAAACCAATGTTCCCTTTAAGCTGCGTGGCCGCGCAGCTATCTCACAGACGCCTCGCAGCAGTTTTGAGGATCCCCACAGCAAATTTTTATAAAAATAATTTCGAGCTCTGCAGCCGTCATTATACAGTTTTTATAACATCTATCTATGTGTTTAATTTGATTCAGATCTATATTTTTGTCTTCTACGTTTTACGTCTAGAGCCTGTTGGACTGTGGACGGGCTTAGCGTTTTCTCTAGTTTTTACTGCTTCCATTTCCTGAGCTGTGTTCCAGGCAGGGATATTTCTTTAAAAATTAATATCTGAACACTGTCATCTTTCCAGCCTTGAAATCTATTTGCAGAAAGGACTATTTTTTTCTTGGCAGTTTGATCTCGTGTCTCCTACCCCCTTTAAAAAAGCATTTTTAAAATGTGTATTTTATATGCTTGGATACATTTTTAAGTAATGAAATATACTTATATTCTAGCAGCATAGTAGCCCTCGTTGCATACTGTAATCAAGTAGCCTACCCTATAATCAATTACAGTACTATAAAGACTAGCCTTCAATCTCAAAATTACGGTAATAATATGGCTACTACCAACATTACAGTTACAGAGTGAAGCGCAATTTTCACCATGTGAAGACGGTTCCCGTCAATGTCACTGAAAAGTATTTCTTTGAAAAAAATTCTGACTTAAATCGTCACTGAAGCATATTTATTGTGTTCAAATTCATGAACTACGTTTTATTTAATAAAAAAAACCAAGTGGTGTACTCAAGATTGAAACATCAAATAGTTCATTGCAATGGGGACGTAGAAGCACTTCGCCCCTCTTGTCCTAATCCATCCACAACATTTCATAGCTATTAAGTTGCTGACTGACAGTTAAATTTTTTACAGGATAATGCAGCATTTAAATCTCGAATGCTTCTCATTTGCCTGCAGCTGCTGATTGAGTACTATTGTCTAATGAGCTGTGCTTGCGCTATGTTTATTGGCACAGGATAAAGCCTAAGAAGAGCTCGGATTTGTACCAGAGAGTGTTATGGTTGTGCATGTATCGTGACAAGAGAGGCGAAGTGCTGCTACGACTAAGGTTAATCATTTTCAGAGTTTATGTCAAATAATCTAGATGGGAAACTTCTATAATGAAGATAAGGATTTTGTTTGAGATACGCTGCCTTAGTGCGAGGTGCCAGCGTGGGGCATCTCCGTAATAAGGAGCACAATTGGAACCAGGTAGGCCTCCAAACAAGTCAGTACTATAACACACAGACTTGAACTGTACCAGTGGAAGTATCAAGACTATTTAAAAAGCGTGTAGATATTTTCATCAATATTAATTTTGATTGTCTTTTGAGTGGCTGGGATAAGTAAAAAAAAATTGTGGATAATACATCCCAACCACTTCATCTCAGATACAAAAGATCAGCTCAATCAGGACGAATTTTTTTCTTCCCCCAGTTTGTACGAATTTATGAGTGTGCTCCCCCAGCGATTACCAAATATAAGTGATCAGTATTTAAGCCATTAATGTCACAAATAGAGTTCTTTTGTGGCTGATTTCTATGCTGGAGAAATATTTTAGATATCCGTTATTGAAATTGTTAAATTTTAAAATGTTTACAATGTAGTAAAAAAACACATTTCCATTTTTTTAAATCAATAAAGCATTTTATTTTACCAAGAGTAGACAGGCATTGCTTGCTTGATTCTGTAGACAGGCATTGCTTGCTTGATTCTGTAGACAGGCATTGCCTGCTTGATTCTGTAGACAAGTATTGCTTGCTTGATTCTGTAGACAGGCATTGCTTGCTTGATTCTGTAGACAGGCATTGTCTGCTTGCTTCTGTAGACAGGCATTGCCTGCTTGATTCTGTAGACAGGCATTGCCTGCTTGATTCTGTAGACAGGCATTGCTTGCTTGATTCTGTAGACA